GTTCCGGAATGAGAAAAACACGATTTCTGTCCTGATAATCATCGAGCTTGAGTGGATTGGCTGGTGGTGAAAAGGCCTCATGGTGTGCTGCTTCATCTAGATGCGCCCCAGCCTCGCTTTAAGGGCATCTCCGCACACTCCAGGGCCGGGAACAGTCGGGATTCACTAGTTTCTTATCGTCGTTCCATCTCATCGCTCTTCACATCGCTTTCAAAGCTTTTCCGGGTAAGGAACTTGAGAGTTCTAGACATTTTGCCAATTTTGAGCAAAGATCTGTTGGAAAGGAAACTTCCCCGCTGTTAGGAAATAATATACTGGTGTCGCATCAGGTATTGTGCATTTGCATCCGTGCTAAATAATCTGTATCAGCAGTGTAATGCAAGATTTTCCTTTGTGGTCATTCTAAAACTTCGGTGAGAGGGGGGGGGGGGGGGGGGGGTGCAGGCCCAGCTTTGTGAGTTTTGCCGAGCGGCAAACTTTCCCCTGTCAGATTAAGCAGGATTAGCTGGGTCCTGCCTGTGATGAACTGAACACTTCACATGGGGACTTGAAACTTTCCAAAGACGGAGAAAAAAAAAAATCCCCAGTCAGTGAAAATTCATTACTTGCTTTGAAATCCCAGTTTTCACTGCATGATTCCAAGCCTGTCCACATCCTCGGCGTTATACCAGCTGCTGGCTCACTTGGTATGTGAAAAACATCACTCGCTCACTGCAATTTGTATGGATGCAAACATCCACACAAATGCGCATGTGCCTGTGTGCAGGCACACAAATACACGCTCTTTCCCAAACCGGGAGTCAGACACGGCTTCTTGCTCAGAGCTAGTTCCCTCACCAGGGTCCTCGGTGGGTGCTAAGTTCCATTGTGTCTTTAAATGACACACACACACACACACACACAGAGGCACATGCATACACTCATTGGTATTTTTATCTATCCCCAGAGCCACTCAGTGGCTGGAAGCCATATCAGTCTCAGACGACAGAAAAGCCACGGTCACACCAGCTAGTACTTAAGGCGCCCCATCTCGTGTGTGTGTGGTGGGGGGGGGTGCGTGTGGGTGTGTGCGTGTGGGTGTGTGCGTGCGTGCGTGCGGTCCGCAGAGGTACGATGTGTGGTGATATAAAGAGACTCTGACAAAGGTGGCAGTACGGAGGAGGGGAAACGTGGAAAGAATTTGGTCCGTTATCAACCAAGACCACTGAGGGGGGACGCACAAAAATACGCTCACACACAAACCCTGAGAACGTGACCACATGACAGGGCCAAAGGCACACGCATTGCCTCCTCAGACAGGGTTTTTCCTCCCACGACGAGGCTAAAACATCCAATCTCAGTCTTTCTTGTCTATCTCTGGTACTGATAAAGGCTTATAATGAACTGGGGACTAGATCTCAGTCCCAAGACCGATGGCTTTATGGCCCCGGCCAGTTCATCTCCCCCTGTGGACTTCGTTTGTCACCGGGCGAGGACAGACAGAGAGAGAGAGTCAGATGGAAAGAAAGTGATGGGAGGAAACCGAGAGAAATATGGACAGAGAGGTGGAAACAAAGATTAAAGTTTTACACTCCAACCTTTGAAAAGCGTTTTGCAATACAGCCACCGTGTCCAGAGTTTACTACCGGAGCTTTATGTCAGGTGTGTGCCGAAATACGGACTCTTGGCTGATATAAATGTTCAAAGTTTTGATAAGAGGGCCCGGATGCAAACAAGGGGACCAAGGTCCTCATAGGGCTTATCACTCTTCAGGTTATCTCACCTTTTGTACTTGGGAGCAATGTAAAAGCATGTTTGTAAACTGGTAGCAGTTGAACATTATGTTTAGCTTGTGTTTTTTCGAGATATGCGCGTTGTCTTAACTCGGCTACGCGGTCATTCCGGCTCACTCTTGAGACAAGCAGGGAGGAAATCACTTTCGGATGCAAAGACGTTCCATAGCACCAGGGTGCTGAGAAACAGCACGTTGCCATGTTATACATATTGATGAAGGTGATGAATATGAAAATACATGGACGCTTTACTGACCTCAAAAAGATTGGATGCATCGTTGCCATACTGGGTAGAAATAATCTCCGATTGGTCGCTGTACCATTTGAGGCCACCAAGGAAGCTGTCGGCATCTAAGTCACTGACATCCAGCTCTGAGAGGTCAAGTTCAGGGAGGTCCGGGCAGAGAGGCTGGTCTTCACCAACTAAGGCAGCACACTGGAATGGAGAAAAAAGAAAACACGGATGGTCAGAGAGAGAAAAAAAATCACATCTACTTCATATGCAAATCAGACGATGTGTTTTGGGTGCCAAGCTTGAAAAACGATGGGGGAATCTAAATCTGGACATCAGAGAAAAGTCTTTTCAACACCTGCTGTTGAGGCCTAAACAAAGGAAAGACGAAACATTGTGTGGATGCCAATCAGACAGTGATTCAAATTCTAAGCTTCTCCTCTTAATGACAATTTAAGTTTCTTAATTCCCTCATTTGAAAATTGGGCATACGGCTGCCACTTTCGTTCTGACAGCTTTTTATTATTCTTTTTATTACGTCCTATTGATTATTATCAGAACGCTTCTGCAAGTGCGTGGTTTTACACAACAACACGGACACATGCAATTTTTTTCCACTGCGCTCTGCAGAACGCCGTGCGGCCCCCCCGTCCCCCCACTGTCGCTCCCTGAGCACTGCCGTAGGCGCAGACCCGCTTAACGCTGCCCGTTGACATTTTGCTATTCACCAGCCACTTTTGTGTAATCGAGCCCATGCGTACTGTATGAGGCAGCTGTCCACGCTTCCTCCCCATGCTAATCATCAGCCGCACGTGAGGGGCTCTGGACTGGAAATCGATATTTGAAAAGGTGTTCTGGTGGAGGGCAAAGAGGTGCCAGCAAGTTATGAGGGTTGATTTAAGGTGAAATCTTTGTCATACTTTCAGCATGGTACGTTTCCCTACTTCTTGCACATACAAGAGGGCAAAAACACAGCAGAGTCGATGTTTGTTTACAATCTGAGACTGTGCACATGCAGACCAAACCCAACTGGCTTCTGTCTCACATAACATACACTGTTAATGGCGTGGGCAGCACTTAGTGTATGTACAAACACTGCCATTTGGCCCTAAGACAGACAGAACATATCCTCGGGCGAAGCCGGGAGGTAGTTGGCCTGCGGACTGACGAGAGGATGAGAGTGGGGTTCAGCTTAGGGCGCAGCAGGGACACGGAGCCTGTGCCAAGTCGGAAAAAAAACACACGACCAGACACCGCTGTCACGGATCATCCCGTCGTCGAATTCGCACCGACACGAAAGCACGACGACTTCGACACCGTGTTGAGGCGAATCCGTTATGGCACAACCGCAAGAGCAAACGGGGACAGATGAGCCAGTCTGAAGGGGCACGGAATGACACCATAAAAATAAAAAAAATAACAGGTAGCAGCCGCTGGACGTACTATGGCCAATTGTCGCACGGACTTCTTGGTGGACTAATGAAACAGCGCCGCCAGACAGGCAAACAGCGGCGCGACACAGCGCGCCGGTGATTTACGCACGCAGCGCGCACGGAGCACCTGCTATGGAGGATCATCAGAGGAAGTACTCACGCCCCGGAGGAGTTCTGTCATTGTAGCAACAAGGTTTGCATTGTGGAATTCTAAATGCAGACATTTCATAGATGGTGCCGAGAAGGCAAGGCGACCGTCTCTGCGACTGACACGAGCGGAAAACTAAACGGACAAGGAGCCCGTCTCCTGGAACCCTGCGGGGCTTGGGTGACAGCGTGTGCATGCCGCGGCGATTAAAGTGCCCGCGGAGCGCGTATGAATACTACGCCACCCCCTTAAAACGGGTGTTGAAATAGCACAGTCCCACTTTGATCGAATAAAGGCAGCTTTCTTTCGCACATTATCACATCACGCAGGGTGGATAAGTACGGAGGTGCGCAGCCACACCGCGTCGTTACAGAGAAAAGACCCCCCCGGAGCATCACTGATGGTGACTCCTGTGTAGACAAGTAGCCAGGTATTGCCAGGTACACTTTAACGTCCAGCAGCTGGGCGGACTCCCTAGATTGAGAGCAAGGGGACATAGAAGTGTCCCTTTGACGTGCTTTAATCAGAAGGGTGGGACAGACGGCGGGTTCCAACCACGACATACACAAATAATAGTATAAATAATACAAATACGCGGAATGTGATATTCGCGCAAACGTGAACGCGATCAAGCACCGGCCGGGGTGTCCGGTTTACAAACGTGCCCGCTACCGTTACCGTTAGTATTATGACGCTCCTGCGCAATGCCAGATAGTCCTCGGCGTGAACAACCTTTGCTCCAGCCTTTGTAAATAACACCCGTTTCTCCCGACAACAGCACATCAAAGAGATTGTCATCGTATTGAGTGGATTTCATGCGTCAGCCAAATACCTGACTCCGAGACATATCAGTCGCTTGGGCACGAAAAAACCCTTCTCGGGGAACCGGAGCGCGAAGAGTCCCGCGGGCTGGAAGGATATCGGCAAGCGTGCAAACACTCGCTCTCCGACTGCGCGCAGAACATAGGAGCAGAGCGCCGATCCCGAGCCCGTGCACGCACTACGACAACTACATCTTTAACCGCGGCGGAAAGGGAGATTCCCCGCCACTCGTCATATATTCCCTGCGTTGTATATTCCCCCGCATCCTCAAACTGCGTGCAGACGCGCGCAACACCGGCATGCCACCGCCGCCAGCAGCGGAGGAGGAGAAGGAGGAGGAGAGAGCGTGGACTTATAGTGCAAATCACTGTCTCGGATAGTCAGTGTTGTCCAACGTTTCCAGGACGGAAAACAAAAAAATCAAAAAAAGAAAGTCCACAGGGCTAGAAAGATGAAAGAAGTGCGCTCACCTCTAATTCTCTCCACACCGAGTCCTGGTTACACCTGTCCCACGCCATCCAGCCACTGAATGACGGCCCGACCCCCCCAAAAAAAGAAAAAAAGAAGAAAAAAAAAAGAAAAAAAGAAAGAAATCAAGTAAAAAAGAAATCCACACACGCTTCCCAGTCGCTCTCACACAGGCAACTGCTGCCCCTCGCCGAGAATGAACCGAGGGCACCTGTCTTACAACTGCTTTCCATCACATGACAAAGCTATTAAAAGTAGGCAGGGGAGTGACTCCGAGTCCACGCTACTCGCCGGTGACGCGCGGCGAGCAGGCGGGGTCTGCCTGCGCACATAGTAAAATCATCTCCGTGCACTGCAAAAAATGTCCACCTCAAAACCATATCTGGGGTTTATTAATCTATGCGCGCGGTATTCTGTGCATACATGCAACAACAACAACAAAAACGCACGTGACCGACGCTGCTTGGATACACTCGAAAAAAACATCTGTAAATAAGTAGCGTGACGTTGAAAATGCTTTTGTGAAATTGTTTTCATTTGATGGGATTTTTTTGCAAAATCTCGATTTGAGTTGTTACTCTAACAGCTTTACTTTGAAATGCTTCAGAATCAAATGATTTGGGGCCTTTTCTTCCATTTTTTGTCCTCAGAGTGGGCTCAAAATTAGGCAAATAAGAGTAAATGGATGTACGTCTGGTTTTGTAGTTTGTAACCATTCAACTACACAAATGTCAGCAATATGCCGCCTTGACATTCAGGACCAATTCTATTTTTGGCGAGGCCCATCATCAGTCATGTATTTGGTTTGGAACAAGTGAACAGATGGGACTTGACTGCACCTCCGAGTTCATCGAATTGACGCCCTCGATCTTGTGTCGCTGCCCAATAAGTGGAGGAAACCTTTCCACAAAGCCGGTCCTGCAAATACGTCACAGAATCGGGATTCTTGCAGGAATGAACCAGGTCCTTCGCACGTGCACAAATAGGTCATGTTATGTGGAAAACAAAGTCATCACATATTTCCAGTATGCTTCAGCAAATGAAAACAAAGGGCTGTATTATGGAGGATCTCCACCACATGTTGTGGTGTTTCTATTCTTATTGTCCAATTTGTGCCATTGTTTGATACATGAAAATGCTCACTTAGAACAAAGTGGGTTGTTGTTCTTCTTCTTTGTCCATTCAGAAGCAATAAAAAGGAAAACTTTGGCGTATCAGCCGTGTATACAGTGTCAACAGGGCGTGTATAGGCAACACTACCGCGGCCAAATAAAAACAAATGCTTTGTGGACATTTCAAACAGACTGGGGCGTCTGTCGGGGAGACTGGCACTCGTCCTGCAGCAACAATTCTCTTTTAATCCCAAATGTTATTTTGTGCTCTATTCGTATACGGTTAACTGAATTGGTATGTTAATTATCACCGTTACTGCCTCAGGGGCCGTCTCAGCACGTTCATGAATAACAGAATTCTAACACCGTTCCATGACATTTTTACCAAGGTACCTTTTTCTGTTTAGTCATAAAAAATAATGTGTATGCACTGTGATTGTAAGACATTTAGTGTGTTTTATGTTTTGTATGAGGGCATTCGTGCCGCTCAATCTATACATCTGCCTCTCCACCCGTGCCCAGAGATACTACCCAGAAGCAACAGCGACACCCGATCCGAGCAGGTGGTGTGTGCAGTGACCTCATAGAGCCCATATGGACCAGTACCACGGAGACGTAGTATAGTGGGGGAACATGGGAGTGACATGCGGCTCGGTGGGGGCTGGGATCTGTGACAGCGGAAGTTACAAAAAAAAAACCTTGTTCATCATCGGGGAGTTAATATGTACGTGTCCAACGGACGAAGGTAACTGCCGGTAGAGTAGCAACTGGTCAGGTAGCTTCCTTACAACTTGAGTATTATCACCACAATGAACGCAGTCTTGCCAAGAAAAAAAAAAGGAGAAGAGAGAAACAAATCCTTGGCAGAAGACGCATGCTGGTAAACTATATTCCTCCCTCTCCTGAAGCGCCATGCGCCAAGTCACAGTCAAAAGGCTTATCTGATTGTACTCTTCATGCCAATTAAGGCACGGGAGCCAAAAATAGATATTATGTTCTGATTCCCTTTCTTGAATGGCCTTTGATTCATTTTCTTTCGCAGACACATTCTTGCTTGAGGCTGGATATTTATGTTTGCAGGGTGTAGATATCTGTATCTACACCCCAGGTAAAGGAATCATATCAAAAGGGGAAAAGGAGGAGCGGCGTGTTCTACAACCCCACTGAAGTACAGGTAATCTTTGAAATGCCACAGCCTTCCCTTTCAGTCGCAGAGAGATG